ATTTTCGCCCCTTCCCAAAATTACTTCAACGGAAGGTTTCCAGATGGATATGCGGAGCAAATCCATCTGACGGAGTCAGGTTAGTCCTTAACAGGTTATCAATTAACCTACACTCACAAGGTGAACTTTTATAACGGTAGATGAAGTTCAGGCTGGCATTTAGAGAACATTAAAAGTGCCATTTACCTGTCAACTTGAGCAAGAGATGAGAGGAGATACATGCTTTCCTAAGACCCGCCCCCTTCATCTTCTGATTGGCTAATAATGTTAGTTTCAGAGTGCTCCTTTGCTGCCATTGGTTGACAAACCAAAGAGATTTCGATTTTTTTATTTATTTTAGAGTGATTTTTTTTTACCCACGGGCATAATTATCTCTTGTACAGTATACGAGAGATACTTTAATGCCTGTCAATGTAAATATGAACCAGTTGAATTAAAACAAGTGCTTGAAATGATTGTTTTCTTCTGCTAGGAATGGTTTCCTCTGAAGGAAATCAAAGTAGCTTTTCATAGAAACAAAAGAGCTGGCAAACCAGAAACTAAACAACCAATGACTAAACTGGAGTCAAATTTGTTCCAATGGATCAACTGATAACGTCCACTTTGAGGGGATTTCTATCAATGCTGAACTGTTACACCTGTCCACTAGAGGGCGCTGCTTTTCATTCTAAAGCAGGCACTCACTGGTGTTTGTGAGAGAAGTAATGCCAGGTAAGTGGGCGGCGTTCAGGAATAGAAACATGAACAGACACGATCCAGAGTGCCGGTCTGGGAAATGTTGTCTTTAATGGAAATTCAGAATTAACTCTATGTGTTTCTACTTGAAAATAGAAATACTCAACAAACTCCTACAGCTATCGCCTGAACGGCACCATGTAAGGTGGAGAAAAGTGAAAGGCAGTACATCATTGAAACAAGGAGGTAATAGTCTGACAGTAACACTTTTTATTTCATAAACCTAATAGGTTTCCGTTTTATTTCTTCCAAATTATTATGTTCAGTAATGTATAAGAAATATTTTAATTCCTTTAGTCAGTATTTCATACAGCTGGCACAATAATTTGATACAATTTAATGATTTACTTTAAAAAAAATAAAGATCATTTTGATACAAGATAAAATTGGGGCCTTTAAGAAAATTATTTATTATCAGTAAATGTCTAGTTGATCGATAAATCAATTAACTGTTATATTATGTCATTAATCTATAACTTAGGACCAGCTCCAAACATGAGGAAATGCTGATGCAAACATGGCAGAGCTTCCTTGGAATAAGAGCCAGCAGATTATGACTTGACTTTCCTTCGTGTTTCTTACAGGACGACACAGAGATCAATCTTCCCGGATGTACGAGGAAGTCGGAGCAGAAGACTTGGGCTAAGCTGGAAATCCCACATCCTCTGTCACCGCCCCGCTGCGCTCCAAACCACCTGCACAAAGCAAAGCCTACAGCCTCCGCTGTTCCTCCCTTCTTGCTCTGCTCCGACTTCCTCTGAGCTTGAGGAGATCATGCGCAATGTTATTATTAAATTAATAGGAGCAAAACATGCAGAACTGAACGCTAAATTTAATGTGACATATTAAAAAAATCCCCATCAGCATCCAGCATATGTTCAGTTTCTGCCCAAATATCTTCTTTTTGTTGTGGATTTTTGGTCACAGGGATAACTAGGATCATTTAAAATTGTTTTTAATGAACTATGTTTGTTCTCTACTTCCAAACTCAGCATCTCCTTATCCAGGCCTGCGATAAGAAGTTTGTTTTGAAGTTGTCAGATGTGCTCTTCGGTATAAAATATTTATATCGAGATGAGAAATCTGCTTCCTGGTATGTTGAAATACCAATAGCTTGCTTCAAATAATGTAACTGATTAATAAATTAATTACATTAATAAATAATAAATTCAACTATTCACTAATTTGTAGTTACTCATCTGTCATCACCATATGTTAATTTGTCAAAATTGATCTTCTCTACGTTCTTTTCCTGTTTGCAATAGCGGATATTTACCCGACCGGAGCAAAATATAGCTCGGCTCCGTATTCTGACGGTGACGGACGGAGAAGATGTATGTGGACGGAGACGTCCAGAGGAGTAGAGGTGGATGTGGAACCGCTGTTGTTGATTAACATGACAGACAAGTACTCTGCACGACGTACGTGAGCGGGGCGGAGCGCTGACGGAGTATGTGCAATCTGGGGATAAAGCTTTATTCAGGGAGAATACCGGTATCTGCTTTTTCAAGCCTTATGGGGCGTCATGACAACCACAAGGTTAAAACTGAGAGCAGCGTCTCAAAAACTAAATGTGAAATATAATCAACTAAAAGCACCAACAATATATGTTGACAGATGTTCTGATAAATCTGAAGTTTTTGGTAATTGTTCTTCAGTAAACCATATACAGGTTTTAAAATGCTGGTCTCTCTGCCAAAGCTTGTGACCATAACCTCTCTACTGCAGGAGTTTATAACCAAAGGGCTTTTCAGTACCGTTGTTGTTGAGCATGATGTTCTCAGGCTTCAGGTCTCTATAGATGATTCCTTTCTGGTGCAGATGACCCAACGCCATTGAGATCTCTGCCAGGTAGAAGCTGACAAGAGAAAAACGCTTCAGTAACGATGCAATCTGGTGGGATGGGAAAAACGTTTTGGGTCTACAGCTGTCATATTCTTTAAAGTAACCAACTAAACACAAACAGTATTCATTTCATTTTAATAAATTGCAAACTTCTTAAAAAATATATATATTAACATTAAACAAATGAAACAGTCCTGATCATGAACATCCACATGTAAAGAGAAATGCATCCTCTACGGTCACCTTAAAGGAATAGTACACCCAAAACATGATTAGTCTTCATTTTCTACTCACCCCCATGCTGAACAACACTCTGGAGTACTTTTTTGATATCTCAAATGCATCTGGAGATCTGGGAGGCTTATTGCTGTCTGCTGACATTCAAATAATGGAGGTCTATGGCGCCCGAGACAGAAAGGTCCATAAAAGTCCACAAAAAACGTGTCAATATTCCTCCATACTGCTCGTCCAATGTATTCCAAGTGTCCTGAGTGGGTAGCATCCAGAATTTACTCGAAACAAAGTCATTTAGAATGTTTTTAGAGCATAAACAGTAGTGTATAGGATTTCCTGAAAGCGCGCGCCGGCGCGTTCATGACGCCAGGGAAGCCGGCAGACCAAACCAGATGAAAGTGCGCATTCAGCGTCTGCTCTGCCAATAATGCAAGCGTAGAAGAAGAAATGTGCTGTTTACCTGTGCAAAGAAAGAAACAACGAAAGAAAAATGTCTGAGGACTTCAGTGTTGAGGAAGAGCATGAGTTCTTTGCCGAGCTGAATGCGCTGGTTTGGTCTGCCGGCTTCCGTAGCGTCGTGAACGCGCATGTGCGCGCTTTCAGGAAATCCTATACACTACTGTTTATGCTCTAAAAACATTCTAAATGACTTCGTTTCGAGTAAATTATGGACGCTACCCACTCAGGACACTTGGAATACATTGGACGAGCAGCATGGAGGAATATTGACACGTTTTTTGTGGACTTTTATTGACCTTTCTGTCTCGGGCACCATAGACCTCCATTATTTGAATGTCAGCAGACAGCAAGAAGCCTCCCAGATCTCCAGATGCATTTGAGATATCAAAAAAGTACTCCAGAGTGTTGTTCAGCATGGGGGTGAGTAGAAAATGAAGGCTAATCATGTTTTGGGTGTACTATTCCTTTAAAAGCTAAAAGGTCTGTTAGGACGTTATGATTAGCTGAAATTTAGATGAACAAATTTAGATTTAATTTTAGCATTTAGTATTTACAAATACTTTCCTATTGTGACTAGGGTTGTCACAATACTACTTTTCAACTCGATACCGATACTAAGGAAAATATTCGATACTCGATACCATTTTCCATACCACAAGAATAAAAACAAAGACTCTAAAATTCAACAGAAATATTTTCATTACTAAAAAAATGCACAGAATTATTCAATCACAGTGTTCAGAAAGTGCATTTTCCACTACTCTGCACTTTAGATGGCTGTATCGATACTTTTAAAAATGAGTATTGTATCTGGATACAACATTTTAGTATCGATACTTTTTTGAGTATCGATACTTTTGACAACCCAAATTGTGACTAAGAAAGAATTAGGAGGATGTCTGTTCTCCAAAGACCGCTTCAGGTGAATCCGTCAGATTAAGGCGTTCTCATGTAACTTGTGAAACATCATCAGCCTCTGCCCTAATACTGCTCCAAATCACAAGAACACTTTGTCCCTACCCAATCCGTCCTGGAACCACGATCCATCCTGTGCATACGCGAACAGATATACATCCGGGAGCCCATAAATAATGTATTTATCGTACTAAAATTACTTATTTCTATCCTTAAGTCAGTAAAGAATGCTAATACCGCCTTTAAAAAAATATTTTATGACTTTTGTGAGACTATTTTGATGCTTTTTACATTTCCTTTGTTTAACTGCTTGTCTGACGTCATCATGGGGACAGAGCAGTCCAGCAAAATATGATTATATCATGTTTATCTGCATTTTAGTTGTTTCTTTCTTTAGGTTAAGCACTATATAGCATAAGGTTAAAACGAATGGAAAAATAAAACTCAAAAAGATTTATGTTTAAACCCAAAGCCGAAAAAGCTAGCTTCCTGGAAGTAGCGTAGGATTCCGGTTCCGGTGCTGATCGCGAACAGACGAGTGATAAAAGAGAAAGGATTTTAATCCATCTATTTTCTCAGGAAATACATTATTAACCTTTAACACATTATATTTTAGTACACTTTAGGGTTGTAAAAAGTATCGATACTATAGGAAATAGAGGAAAATGCAATTTCTGAACACTGTGTGATTGAATAATTCTGTGCACTTTTCAGTTTCAGACTTTTTTTTTGTAACAGGTGCAGCTGCTGAGAATTATTCTTGTTTCTTAACTGGTTTGGCTAGTGTCATTGTTATGTGTGCAAAGGATAGCCAAGGAAGGAACACTTAATTTTAATTAATAAGTTTTTTATCAAGCTTGCTTAATACTGTGCACAGCAAACAACCTCAAAATATTGCTCTTATTGTTTATTGTATTTATTTATTGTATTTTAATTATTAATCAAAATATTTCTGTTGAAATTTGGAGTTTTTATTCTTTTGGTATCGAAAATGGTATAGAGTATCGAATATTTGAAAAATAGTTGAAAAGAATAGTTGAAAAGTTTAGTATCGTGACAACCCTAGTACACTTACTATTTTGGGGGGAAGGGAAAATGTCATGTAGGTCTTTTTAACAAAATTAAATTCGAGGACGACCCGGATGTATATCTGAATGCGCATGTGCAGGATGGATCGTGCTTCCGGGACGGATCGGGTAGTGACACACCAAACCGAAAACAGACAAAGTCCCTCGAGGACGCGAGTCCGTACCTGCATTCTTGTGAACTGAGAAACGGCCTAAGACTCGGGAGTGATTCTGGAAATAAAACCTTCATTTCTAACCCCTTGGTGCAGACCAGGGCAGAAAGGGTTAAATAGTTCAATCAATTGTTGAAATTAACCGTCAACCTATTTAATAATCAAATCTAATGATTAGAGTAATGACTCACAGACTCTAAAAAATGCTGTCTGCTGAAAGAATAACCTTAGAGCAATAAGTTACTAATCTGCGATTTGAAAATAGCATTTTTTTAAATTGCAATTATAATTTGCAAATGCAATGAATTGCCCAGCCCTATTCTGATCCAGTTACCAGTGACGGACATGCTCACCAAGCCGTGTCCTCCATGAAGATCCCTTCTCTTTCTAGCTGCATGAAAAGCTCTCCACCTGCAGCCAAAGCAATCAGGCACAAGAATCTGTTTAACACATTTATAATAGCAGAAAACCAGTGTTAGCTTTGCACATAACGTCCTGCGTTAACAGCATCTCCATGCTTACCACTCAGATACTCCAAAATCAGGTAGAGCTTTCCTCCAGTTTGGAAGGCATAGATGAGGTCCACGATGAAGGGATGCTTCACCTCCTCCAATATGTTCCTCTCAGCTTTGGTGTGTGCTGTGTCCTTTGCGTTACGAACAATCATGGCCTGGAAACAACAGAAAACAGATTCAGGAATTTATTCTAATTCCTTCATCAGTTCTGGTTAGTTCTGTGTTAATAAGAGAGGAAAGAAAGAGCTGCTCTGAATAAACCAGAAAAACCTGATGTCTTTAAGGACCCATCAGATAACAGGCTCAACACATATTTTCTGCATAAGAAAACTTACATTACAGAACCGCCTCCTTGTTCTGCTTATCTATGGATTATTCACCGCTGGGTTTGGATCTACAATAAGCTCTATACATCAGAGCTCTAGCCTGGAAAGGAGAAGGACTCACAGAGTCAGTGGAACCAATCAGATAACTACGCATGTGACGCAAAAAAACAGTTTTTTTTCCATAAAGAAAGGTTCCATGAAACAGTTATAAAAATGTCAACAATATAAACAGCTCTTTGTAGAGATAATAAAGGGCATCCAGAAAATATTACTGCTGACTGTAGTAATTCTCACTATCTGATCCGTACCATAAGCTCATTTATGTATGGGCAGATATTCATCCAGGTCATCACAAATAATCTAATTACTGTATTAAAAGTACTGATCTATCCTTTAATCACCGGAGAATGCTACGTCTACATCTTATAAAATATATTTTACAACTTTTCTGACAGAATTGGAGAGGTTGATTCTCTAACACCATCATCATCATCGGAGCAATCTGGTGAAATAAGACAATTTAGATTTTAAATAAGAAAACACAACTGCATTGTCTTATTTCAAGAGCATATTATGTAACAAAACTTATTTTAGGAGTTAAAATACTCATCCCATTGGCAAACTATCTCATTTACCTACTCAAATTAAGGGTAAATACAGTTCATTTAAGGAATTTTCACTTATTTCTAGAACATTTTTCCAGTGCATGTTTATCTCAATTTTGTGGATTCTTTCTTTAGATTACACGATAAAAGTACAGCAAAAAATCAAACATAAGAAAGCAGACAAACAAGAAAACAACCAGACAAAATAATCTGCCATAAGAGGACAGACTTCCAGGACAGACGAGTGAGATAAGGATGTTAAATAGACGAGCACCGGTCAATCGCCACGTTTTCACGTGATCATCTATGGCCGGTAACTATGAAAAAAACCGGTTTTAAGCAGCAGTTGTTGCATTTTTGATGAACTTTTCTCTTAGCTGACGCATATCTTTTTCTCCTGCCCTTGGTCCATGTTTGTTTTGGTCAGAGTGCTCAAAACAGAGCGACAAATCAACCAGACCACAAAGAGAAGAGGAGACACAGCTCCCTGAGCTCAGACAGACGCAGCAGGTAATTAGTGTGAGAACAACAGGAGAGAGAGAGAGAGCATCGTAACCGGGGTGAGGGGGCCAGCCGTGCCCCCCCTCTGGAGTTAAGGAACGACGGCACTGAGGAGAGGCTACAGCTGACCGAGGCTAGCTAGGCTAACTGCAGAGGATGGAAGGAGCATGGCGAAAGATCCGCCGGGGAAACAGTACAGCGAATGCTGGGCAGCGGCTACTGCCGGCTAGGACTAATGCTACCTTCAGACCGTACGTGATAGAGGCAGCAAAAGCAGCTCGTTTACGTGCAAAGTCAATGGTTGATGCGCATCTAAAGCTCCTGCAGCGCATTTCGACCAGCAGGAGCATCGCCTTATCAGCTTCTGAGGCGCGTGACATGCTTCACAAGCAGCTGTGAAGTTAATTGCAGAGATACATTTCTCTCATGTCAGATCAATAAAAGTTCAAGTATTATTTATTATGATTATTAATTATTCTAGTGAAATAATATTTTAAGGCAGGATCGTAACCTCAATGAACTGACTGCACAGACGATGCTTATTAACATTAAAACTACTTTTTACCCACTGATCACAGCAAATATACAGTAGTAGCCATTCAAAATTTCCCCACATTCCTTGACGGGATCTTGGCTCGTCACCTACAATTCCTTTTTAAACATCAACCTTTGTACTAAAATATTCTGTCATAATTTGTGGATATTTAAAGGCAGATTAGCCTACTTGAGAACTTGTGAGAACTTTGGCGGATGGTCACGAGAACTTTGTTTTGGCAGAGATCTTGGCATCTTTATATAATTTGTCTGAGGCATCGTACAAGTGGTTGTACTACCGAACCTCCTCGATTAACCTTTCATCGTAGTTGTCCATTGTAGTTGTTCCATGGTTTTTAAAAATGAATTAGCATATCTGAATGTAGCATGAGACAGCGGTGTTTTTGAGAAGCCTGCTAAGGAGAATGAGCCGGGAAATGTTACGGATAGCAGAGGCTAACCTCTAGAGCAGGCATCCCCAAACTCGGTCCTCAAGGCCCCCTGTCCTGCAGGTTTTAGAGGTTTCCTTGCTCCAGCACAGCTGATTTTAATTGAAAGCTGATTAACAGGTTTTGGTCTACTGCAATCATTACAACCAGAGGTGCTAAAGCAGAGAAACCTCTAAAACCTGCAGGACAGGGGGCCTTGAGGACCGACTTTGGGGATGCCTGCTCTAGAGGCTAACTGCTGGAGATGGAAGAATGACAGCAGGGGATCAGAGGAGCCTGCAGGTAGACAGGGTGGCGTAGCGGGGAGGCACAGAATACAGCAGTGATGGATTTGATAATGTGATCAGTGATTGTCAAACGGCAGATACTGATTATTGTGATTGGTGATCAGCTCCAAAAATCCAGATGGGTGGAATATTAATGTTAATGCTTTTATTATCTCAGAAAATAAATTGTTAGCCTTTTACACACTGTAGCCAAGTAGACTTTTTGTAATTAATGTGATAAAAAAAAAATGTAATTTTGCAAATTTTAAAAAGCACAATCACGGGCAACCTGGATGCATTTCTAGATGCGTAACTGAGCTGATATCAATTGGACTGATTGGTCTGATCGGTTTTAGATTACTGAGCCTTATCAGACAGACTAGCGCTCCGTGTCAGGCTGCCTTGTCTGGTCGGGTTACCAGAGTTCGCCTTTGATGCCAAAAGGAAATGATTGAAATATAAAGTAAATCCACTGACCTTCTTCAAAACTTTCATGGCAAAGATTTTCCCAGATGCGGCCCCGGTCACCTTCCGGACCTGAAAGACCTGAAGGAAAGATGCCAGTCAGTCTGACGTTGACAGAACGCCTCCAGCACATAAAGCAGTGAAAGCTTTCCAAATGTGTTCCACCCAAAGATTTAATAAGGTTTTACTTTTTTCTAATAACTAATAAGTATTTCTGATTGAACAGCGTGTTACAATTTCAGAAGCACTGCAGCTGCTTATTCTTGTCAGCAGGTGGCACCATTTGGCAGAACCATACTGGTACAAAATAATGTCTGTCACAGAGAAAACCAAAGAACAGGATGGAAACGAAGGACGGAGTCGATTTCAATCAGTGAGACTCATTTTTAATGTTTAAAAATCAGTGATTTAAAATCTGCTATAAGATTCCCAGCAGGAATTAGGACTGCAGTTTTTGATTATTGTAGTATTCGATTATCAGTTAAGCTTAAAAGATACTTTCAGGTAATAATTCTAAATAAAAAATGTTCGAAATTTTGAAAAGAAAACATTTATGTTGATTTGTAAATTCATTAGAAATAAAAAAAAAAACATTTAAAATGTATGTACTTATGCATCTTAAATGAAACAAGTTAATAGTTTTTGTAGTTCTCTATCAATTACTGCTGCAAGTAGGTTATTGCTTCAGCAGATGACCTGTTATAGAGTCTGTGTGCCATATCATTACCAAATTAGTCAACAATTATTTCAATAACCGATTCATCATAATTAATCCGATGAATCTTCTCAGTACTAGCAGGAATAAAATAAACCAAAGATCTTAAACTATACGGAACGACAACCTTCTGCACCTCGGAGGATGCTGCAGAACAAGTTGCACAGGTGACTCGTGGCGAGTTTGGCCCCTCAGGCTTTCAATGCAACCAGCAATTATAAAAGGTACATTCAGGACCTGCCAGCTATAAATGATGCTTCCTGCTGGTAGAAAAGCTTTGAATAAACCTGTGGTTATTAATGAGCACACCTACTAATAACAGGCAAAGTCATTACAGCCAGAGAGTTTAGTTAACGTTCCTTCTTGCTCTGATGGGGGATCTTTTCCCCAGGAAAGTATATCCCATGTTTTTCTACACTGTTCTTGCCTTCAGATTTTAGATGTTTTTAAAATGTAGGCAAGGAACTGCCAATAAATTTAGAAATATAATGGATTGCTGCTAAAGACAAGAAGAAGGGGGATCCGAAGAGAAGCCCTCTTTCTTATCGTAAAGATGAAACCGATAAGAACAAGACTTTCAAGTAATGTTCAACACTACAGGGGCTCAGAACTTTGAGGCGAAGCGAAGAAGACGAGTCGTTTTCAAGCTTTTGTACGGATAAAAATGTTAATGTAAGGGAGAATTTAATTCCTCAACTCCTCTTAGTTTTCCAGTGGCTGAGATTAGCACAGCTTCAGAGTGACTTTATTCTTGGGAAGATACCCCATGTCTGTTGGGAGAGTTCCCCGCTACTTTCCTAATAAAGCATTTATTCCTTTTTTTTTTGCGGGTGGTAAACGGCAGCTAGG